AGACTCCCACACCACATGTGCCTATGGCAGAGGTTGCAGGCCGGTGCCTAGACAGTTGTCCAGAGACTGCTTGTGTCAAGGTCTCTTTAGACACCTCCCTCACAGGCGTGGCCGAAGAATTGAAGGAGTGGATGCCCGCCTGGGCCAAGCTGAAAAAATAACAAAAAGGACAGCTAATTTTGGTAGATGTAGAGATTTTTAGAGGTAGAGTAGGGACCCTAGTAGATTCAGGGGCTACCCGCAGCTATATTAGTAGGAAGGCGCTGCAGAAGTTGAAGCTGGGGCTTAAAGTCCAAAAGCTAGCAGATCCCATAGTTAGTATCCTCGCAGACAATCATACTACGGTTGTAGAGGAGTATGTAGAGGGAGTCCAGGCGTATTTCCGCCTAGAGAAGGATGGGAAAGTGGAGGTCCTCCACTCCCTGACTCTCCTCGTAGAAGACAGCCTCCCATTTGACATTGTTCTGGGAATGGATTGGGGAGAGGCAGTCGGGGCCACGCTCCATTTGAAGGAGCACGAGTGTAGGCTCCCTAGTTCTTCAGGCGAGGCTAAGACTGCCCGCTTGTTCCATATGTCAGGCGTAGAGAATTCCTTGGCACATTGTTGCCTGAGCGCGCCCGCATTCGCCAGATTGGTGAAGAAGGAGAAATTGGAGGAACAAGTCTTTGTCGCCTATATTAGGCCAGTGACTGAGCCTAAGGAAGAGAAGCCCGTAGACCCTACTATTGCCAAATTGCTGGAAGAGTTTAAGAATTGAACTAAGCCGCCGACAGGCACGGTGCCGCGGCCCATCCAGCACCGTATTGAGATAGAGCCTGGCAGTAGAACTCCTAAGGGTACTGTATATAGGATGTCCCCGCGGGAGTAAGAGGAGCTACGAAAGCAATTGGACGAGCTCCTCGAAAAGGGTTGGATTAGGCCCAGTTCGTCTCCTTTTGGAGCCCCTGTTCTCTTTGTCCCTAAGAAAGAGGGAGAGCTGAGGATGTTTATAGACTATAGGGGTCTGAATGYTATTACAGTAAAGAATGCTGAGCCATTGCCTAGGATAGACGATCCCTTAGATCGAGTGCAAGGGACCAAGTACTTCTCTAAGATAGACTTAAAGTCCGGATACCATCAGATAGAGGTACATCCTGATGATCAGTATAAGACAGTCTTCCGGACTAGGTACGGGCACTATGAGTTTATAGTGATGCCCTTTGGACTAACCAATGCGCCAGCTACGTTCCAGCATTGTATGAACGATTTGTTTACGCCATGGTTAGATAGATTTGTTGTAGTGTACCTAGATGACATTCTAGTGTTTAGTAAGACCCTCGACGAGCATCAGGGTCATCTCAGGAAGGTCTTGGAGAAGCTGAGAGTAGCTAACTTCAAGATCAGTGCGAAGAAGTGCGATTGGGCGAAGACCCAAGTTTTGTATCTAGGCCACGTCTTAGACGGAGACGACGTTAAGCTAGAAGATAGCAAGATCGCAGCGATTAGAGATTGGCCCACGCCATGTACGCTGACAGAGTTGCGCTCGTTCCTGGGCTTAGCAAATTACTACAGGACGCTCGTGAGGAACTTCTTTACCATCGCTGCGCCCCTTCGCAGATTGCTAAGAAAAGAGACAATCTGGAAGTGGGACAAGGACTGCACGTCTGCCATGAAGAAGCTAAAGCAGGCATTGATAGAGTACCCGGTCCTTAAGGTCGCCGATCCGTCCTTGCCTTTTGTCGTTACTACGGATGCTAGCCAGTACGGCATAGGCGCAGTGTTACAGCAAGACGATGGCAATGGGTATAGACCCGTAGAGTTCATGTTCGCTAGAATGCCTTCAAAGAAGGTCGCGACATCTACCTACGAGAGGGACAACAGAAAAAATGTGCCAAATTTTTTGCCACGATGGACCTATGTTTACACCACATTTCAACTGTTTATAAACTGCTGGCCGGGGGGGGGGGTGTATGTTCAACACAAAATGAAGGAAACCAACACTGGCCGTATATTGGGGACACTGAAACTTGTGTGTTCAACTGTTGGACCAACTGTTGAAAAACAGTTGGTCCAACTGTTGATCCATTGTTGGTGGCTTGTTGAAATGTTGTTGGAATTTGTTGGAATGTTGTTGAAACTTTGTTGAAATGTGTTGAACCATGTTGAAACTGTGTTGGAATTTGTTGAAGCAGGGTATTCGACCGTATGCACTAGCAGTTTCTACACAGGTCATTTGCRTTGTCCGGGGGTGGGTTGTGATTGTGTTTTCCTCGTTTTGTGGTGAGTACGTTTTGGAGTACTAAGATCACATGGGCGAGCGTTGGGTGTGCGTGCGCCGACCTGGCACGTGATGATTGCACTGGCTGATGGAATTGAGGGATAAGAGACTGATGATGAGAGAGAGAGAGAGAGAGAGAGAGAGAGAGAGAGAGAGAGAGAGAGAGAGAGAAAGAAAGAGATGTTGCAGGCTGCTGATGACCACATTTCGGACCACGTACAAATAAGGTTGACTTTCGGTGTCCAACTCTCTCTCTCTCTCTCTCTCTCTCTCTCTCTCTCTCTCTCTCTCTCTCTGATGATCACAGCCTTGGTCAAGCGCAATGAAGGTGGTCCAGTGCGGATGCTTCCGTACGATGAAGAAGGTGAGAAACAGCGAAGGTGGCAGTTGAAGGCAACAAGAAAACGAAGGAACATCAACAAGAATGAAAAGACAGACTGAGTGAGGGAAGTGGGTACCAGTGGGTTAAAAGCAAAAATGTACTCCAGGCCCAAACGACGCTGGCACAGGCCGTCATGAAAACGGTACCGGTAGTGAACAACCAGCAAGGTGAAAAGGCACCAGTACCACAACAGGCCCG